TCTAACTCTCCATTTGCGGTTTGGATGACACTTTGTTTTTGAGAATATGAAGTTGTTAAATTTTTCGGGTTGTTTGTCATATGGTCGGTTGCACCTGTATCAATTAACCAACTGTTATTTTGAGTTTGGTTTTGATGTAACATACCAGAGCTGGCGGTGGTGGTATGGGTTGCCATAAGAATGGATGCTTCTTGAGTTTGTCAAGAGGTTGCTATTGTGGCTTGACCGGGTTTCTTTCTTGGTTTCTTTGAGAAGCCCCACAATTCAGGGTAGCCAATGATTTCATAACACCTTAGCTTTGAATACCCTTCTTCCCCACAATGGGTGCAGGTGAATGTGTTTTTCTTAACATTTGAGTTCTTCCCTTTCTGATGAACATTTCGAGAGACCATATGTACCATGCTATCTGGCTCGAGTTTTGGTTCTTCCATAGTTTGTCTCTGGTTTTGGTCCTTATAGATGTAAGCATAACTCGATTCCAAACTTAGGGGTGGATCCTTTCTCAGAATTTCACTCCTTGCTTGGTTAAATTCAACATCTAGACCAGCCAAGAAGATGTGAACACGGAACCGAGAGATAGTTTTGTTGAGAGCAACAGTGTCCTCTACTGTTTCTTCCCGTGTTGTTAGACGAAATATCAATCTCTTGAAATATACTTAGGCGGCGTTTGGTTCATAGAATGTTTTTGAAGGAATTGGAATCTATTTAAGGAATTGGAATCTGTCTTGAATTGGAATCTAAATTCAATATTCTGTTTGGTTAGCAGTAAATGGAATTTGAATTCAATATTATATTTTGTTTGGTTGGCGGAAAATGGAATTTGTATAGTGTAAAATGACAGAACTACTATTTTTGGTTTTTGCTTACTTTTACTTTTTTTATAATTATATGTAAAAATATATTATATAAATTATAAAAATAGTAAACGGTGGTGGTGGCGGCGGTGATGGTGGCAGAAGTGATGGTGGTGGTGATGGTGGAAATGTGTGGTGGTGATGAAGGTGGAGGTGGTGGTAGTAGTGACATCACTAGTGTTAATCGTAGAGACAGTGGTGGTTGTGGCAGTGGGTGCGGCGGCGGCGGTGGTGGTGGGTGCAGGTGGCGGCGACGGTGGTGGTGGTGGTGGCAATAGAGGTGATGGTGGTGATGATAGAGTTAGTAGTAACTGCGGTAGTGGTAGGGTTGTGGTGTAGGGTGGTAACGAAGGTTATGGGTAGTGGTGGTGGTGGTGACGGTGGTGATAGTAATGGTGTCAATGATGGTGATGATGGTAACGGAAGCAGTGGGTGGTGGTGTAGAAGGTGGTGGCAATGGCGACGTCATTAGTGAGGATGGTTGGTGGTGGTGGGTCGGTGGGTGGGTGGTGGAGGTGGTGGTGGTGGGTAGTGGTGGCGAAGGTTGTGGTGGAGGTAGTTGTGAGTAGTGACAGAGGTTTTTCATATTTAATGTTAAAAATAAAAAGGGTAATATGGTAATATTCAACACTCTCACTTGAAGGAATTTGAATTTCCTCATCTTTTAGATGGAATTTATTTTCCCTCAATGGAAGGAAAGTTGGACATATTTAGGAATCCAATTTCTTCTCAAAACTTGAACCAAACATAGGAAAGTGATGGAATTAAATTCCAATTCCTTCCGATTCCAACAGATTCCAGCGAACCAAACGACCCCTTACAAGTTTATTGTAGTAGGTGGGTAGCGATCGCCCATTTTGTCTAGGGTGAATGATTTTCGATTTAATTCGAAGAGTTGTGTTTCATCTGTTCCATCATAGAAGGTTTTTCCTACCGTTTCCTATATTTATGCAACCGCTTGAAGACGTACGAAGCGGCGCATTAAGGTTGGACTCATTGAGTCGATAAGCTAACTTTTGACCCGGTTGTTGTCGATCAGCCAGGTTTCGATAAGTTTCTCATCTGTTGAGGGTTTCTGAGATTTACCGATGATAAATCGGGATTTGTTTCTTGCACCAATTCGCATCCTTCATAAGTTGGACCACAAAGGGTAATTTGTATCATTCATAATGACTCCAGTGGGAAACGGAGCATCTTGTACGTTCTGTACAATGCCATATGAGGGGTTTCATGAAGCTCCGCTTGATCCTCCTTCGGTTCCCATTGATCAATGGGTTTGAGATTTTTTCTTTTAGCTATGATTGGTATGGTCTGATACCATACAGAAATAAGAATTCAAGATTTGGAGGAAGAATCTTCCGTTTTCTATATTTTATCAGTCACATGTACATTACATTTATACATGAAAGAAAATAACAAACTCACCAAATGTACAGCCTATTCTAAAGGAACTTGAAATTATCTACAACAATTATATTCTATAATTTGCTCTCATCAACATTTATTGTCATAGTGAAAGACAAATGAAAGCTATGAACATTAACCTTTATTCAAGGGTAACCGGGTTATCCCTTCACTTTTCCGATAAGGACATTCTTAACCCACAAAAATCGAGTTTAAGCCCCTAGACTATAAAAAAGAAATTAAGGCCATTTTGAAACAAATACAAAAAAATCGTAGAGCTAACATGTCATTTTCAATAAATAAAAAATTGCGTCATAGTAAGTTAGCATTTAAAAAAATTGATTCCATTGCAATTCTTCTCTAAGAAATTAACTTGATGAAAGGTTTCGAAATGGCCATTCGGATGTTCTACTCCTAAACAAAACAAATAACATTTTTTTTTCTTCTCCTTTATAATACAATAAATCATTTCTTTTCTCTTATTTCATTATACCAAACAGTCTCGAGTCTTCTAAGTCACCAATATAATGGATTACGAGTGATCATGTCATTGCTTCAATTAATTTTGATCTTAATTAATGAGTTATCCAAACAATCGCTCTTCTAAAATGCTTTGAGTTATATTCATGTATCTTTATTATTTTATTTTCAGGAATTATGAATTTGAAATTTTCTAACGAGGGTTAGAGGATTTTAGAAGGTTTGCTTGTAGCATTGTGGTCCATGAGTCACCCGTAACATCATCATTGTTGGTTATTAATAACTCTAGATAATACTTATCTAATTAGTCCAAATTAATCCATGTATTTGTCTTGTATATATAATATATGTGTCATGTATCGTACATACGAATGCCAATATCTTGTTAGTTGTTACAAAATCAATTTTCACTCTACATTTGACCTTAAACATGCAGACGTACGAGCGTAAATGCAAAGGGGGTTTTGGATTTTACAAACGAGCTTTAGGGTTTTGAATTTAATTGATGTTTTGACCTCTTCAATTCTCTCATACGTCTCATATTCGGGTTTCGAGTAATTCAGGTTTTTCATGTTAAGAAAAATACCCCTTACCCGACCCAAATTAAATTCGGGTAATTAAGGTTTGGGTAATTCGGGTAGTGGGTTGGGTTTGGGTAATTTAGGTATTACCCAATTTTTTATTTTATTATTTTTTTAATGGCACCTAAAAATAAAGTTAGTGAAATAAATTTGTCTTGCTCAAACTTTGAAGATTGATATTTTTTAATCAATAATAATTAAAGATTTGTAAATTAAAACACTAGATGTGTTTGTCTTGAAACTTCACATAGCCATGTTACATTGTCATTGACTGATGAGATTAGAATAATAAAGTTCATGTGTTTTTGATGTTTTGAAGGATATTGCAACAAGAGTTATTAATCATGGGATTGATTTGGTGAACACACCTCTCCCGAAGGTGATGATATGGAATCCGATTTTTGTTTGGGAAATACTGGCAATAGTAAAAAAATGAGGGGTGTTTTCAAAAAATAGACATAAAAATGGACTTTTCCGGATATAGACATGCATTCCGCGGAGGTAGCTCCGCGGAATCTACTGTAGGTCCGCGGACTGACAAAATCGTAAATAAATCAATGTATTAAAAAAAACACTAAAGATCCATTCCGCGGAGGTAGCTCCGAGGAATGAACTCATTCTGCGGAGGTAGCTCCGAGGAATGGATCTTTAGTGTTTTTTTTTCATATCGATTCTTCGGGGTTTAGATTCATTCCCCCAACTAATTATTTTTAAGAAAAGAATATCATACTATTATAATCTTTACTTGAAAATAATTAGTTGAGGAATTAATATAAACCCCGAAGAATCAATGTGAAAAAAAAAAAAAAAACTCAAGATCCATTCCGCGGAGCTACCTCCGTGGAATGCATGTCTATATCCGGAAATGTCTATTTTTGTGTCTATATTTTGAAAAAAAAAACCCTCATTTTTTTACTATTGCCGGTATTTTCACTTTTTGTTTTGTCTGATACTCTTGATGTTGAAGCGCTACAGAAGATGGTGGAAGGTAAGGTGTTGTTTGTTTTTTCGAAGCGCAAATTCGTGAAGTTTGCGGACCACCTCTGCAATCCTCTGTAGCAGAAGAGGTGGAAGAAACGATTGCATGCCATAATAAGAAGCATGTTTGTTTTTTAACATCTGCAGACTGTTGCAGTAAACTGAAGTTTAAATAAACTAATTTTATAAACTGAAAATAGTTTTCAACACCGAAATTTAAATAATTATAGTCTTAAAACATTGAAAGAATACTAAAAAAACATGTAAAAGAACAAAAATATAAAACTTTTTAAAAAAAAACTTACAAAAATATAAAAGAAGCTAACAACTTTATTCTAGAAATTGTATCAAATCCATAAATAAAAGTTTAAAAAAATTTAAGTTTTTTAAAAAAATAAAAGTTAAAAAAAAATAAGTTATACCAAAATTCTAAAAAAACACTTCAAAAAAATGAAAGCTGAAGAGGTTTGAAGAGGCAGCGCCACGCAGCACACGCGCAGAGGTTTTGGAGTCTGAAGTCTTCCAAAAAAACAAGCTGCTGCGAGAAGGAAAGTATTGCGCGTGTGCTGCGCCCCGTAGCAGAAAGTGGTTTGAAGAGGTTTTAAAAAAAAAAAAAACAAACAGCACATTTGTTTGTAACAAATAATTTATATTGGGCTTAATTACTTTTTGATGAACCTTTTCTAATCTTATGAATTAAATTATGAATACAGGAGAAGTTACACGGGTGCCTGTTATAGAGAAGGGGGAGGTTATTGGTTTAGTTTGCATACCGGATTGTTTACGTGATGCTGACAAAATTACGAGAAGGAAAGCCGCTAAGCTTATGGCAACGAATTGGGATGCCCTTGAGAGGTATTGTTGAAGGATTTAATGAACAACCAAATAAAATCACACATGCATGCATGACTGTCATCACTAATTCACAATAGTTTCTGATTTGTGAATTTGATTGTAAGTTTTAATTAAATAAAATCTCACAATATTTTAATTTTCATCGTACAATGAGTGAGATTGTAAACGGGCAACAAACTGTGCCGCTAAACTTTTTTAAATGATAAAACTAATTTTTTTAAAGACTACATCCGAAGATCTAGAATGTTTTAATTATAATTTTTTGGTTAATGATAAATTTCATCATATAATTATTTGAGAGTTATCTTTTTTTCGCTGTATGATAGTTCAAAAAACGATAAATCGGATCCTCAAAGCACGATTTTGGATGTATTTGACCATTGTGACATTTAAAGTGTATTGAACTGTATAACAATGGATTGGCATATTGACTTTTCATACGACTGCAATTACAAAGTTTAATACAACATATTTTAAAAAAAATAATTACAAAAAACGTCTTTTTTCTCATTGATATACTCCAATTATTATTGATCGGTGACGAACACGAACGAAGAACGGACGAGGGATTTTTTTGACGTAGAGAAAATAGAACGAGCCTCAACGAGGGAAATTGGGATTTAGGAATTAGGATGGATAAACTCATATAGGGACATTATTTGTTAAATATATTTCGGGTAATCGGGTATAACCCGAAAACCAAAAAACTTACCTTTTACCCGATCTGAAAAAAAATCGGGTTATCCAAATACCCGAAAAAATTAACCTGATACCCGATTTACCTGATACCCGAAAAAATCGGACGGATAATTCGGGTAATGGGTATTTTCGACAAGGCTATCATCCACATTGACTGAAACCCTAGAAAACTAGTGATGTTGCTAACATTGGAATGCAAAATGAAGTTGTCTCATAAGCTATTGAACACAATTGGAACAATCGATCCTTTATAACCTCTTCGTGTCATTTTTATTAAATAAAAGAGAGTCATTTAAAAGTAATGTTCAATTTTATATAATTCTATAAATCTCTTTATTTTTTAAAAATATATACTGTTTAATAATATAAACTTTTAAAAATATTTAATACATCAACACATCAATCATTTATAAAACCACAGTTGTCAAATCCAATGCTCTAAAGATTTAAACCTTATTCGATTTGTACATTGATATAGAACTAAAAAGATCACCCGCTTGCCAAAAAATGCAATAATAGCGGGAAGGGGCATATCTGTAAATTTAAATGTGGCCTTCCATTGCAAGAACACGTGAGGTGCGGTACGTATGCTTCTCACTTTCTCTCTCCAATATTTTCTAACGGAATGTGTATTCTCTCTCTTACTCTTTCTCTCCCTAGAAGCATCTGAGAAAAGATACGCAGAACCCTCATCTTTATGATCATGGCGATTTAAGTAACCCCCAATCCATTTCTATTCAATGCTTCAATCATGAATATTTTCCCCTGAAGAACAAGTATTAATTTTCGATCGATAAAGTTGCTGCGATTTAAAAGGTAATCTATTAACTGTAGCTAATTGTAATTGTCCTGTTTTCATTTAAATCCACGGAAGTCATGAGCTTCTTAAATAATGCTCTAACTACTGCTTTTTCTAACTTCATCTTTTAGTCAATCATGCATACCATTTAATTAACACTTGATTCCTTTTGCTTTTCCTGCTTATTATTTTCTGTTGAATATCTATTGTGGACTATGTAATGTTAGCATTTAGCAACATCGCCCGTTTATTCTTGAGTAAACTTTTACAGCTTCACCGTGAAAATGGAAACTTACCATCGGAAACGATAAAAAAACCACCATTAGCGCGAACAACGTAAGTTCTCTCTCTCCCTCTCTTGTGTGTTTGTGTGTGTGTGTGTGAGAGAGAGAGAGAGAGAGACCCTCTCTTGCCATTAGGGCATGGCATTGCATGTATTACAATCAGCATTTTGCCTTTTCTGTTTCTGAAATCCGTATTGTTTTTTTTTTTTTTTTTTTTCCTCTCTATGTCCTTTATCACTGGGTAGAGATGTACTAAAAAGCATTAATGGATGCAGGAGATAATGAGCTTGAAAAGGCAAGAAATAACCAGCGTACTAGACGGCGCACAAGCACACAGACATCACCTTTGGCCAGGCAATTCCTGCTTCAAAGGAATGGTATAATTTCAAAATTATCCTTTTAGCATATAATACTTTTAGATCCAAACTATTTCTTTCAATTCTTCCTTTCTCGATTATCTATAATGGCTTCTCTTTATTTCATGTGTAAAGCAGACGAAGAAGAGGTCCAACCAGGCTTAATTCATTTACGAGATCTACCACAAAAACCTTCCTCCTAGAACTCCTCTTCAACTGAGATCCGTTCGCGTTTTTATGGTAATCAATCACTTCGTGAATCAGTGACAAAAAACTGTTTTGTTGATTAGATCTGAATATGTTTTCGTCTAACTGATGGATAATGATTATTTTCAGATATCCGAGCATTCTGTCATTACGAACTTATTTCAGTCATGGAATCACGGAGATGTATCCTGCATTAGATGAGAAGTTCGTAATGGGAGTAAAACTGGCCGGCAAAGTGCTTTTTCGGCAAGTTCCATGCATCTGAAGAATTCGACGAGAAGAAGCATCTGCAGAATTTCTGGCTGGTGAACCCAAACTCTCAAGTCGGGTCGGGTCATGCTGCTATGAAGATTGAAGAGATCGGATTGGCAAATTAAGGAACTGAAGAACAATGCGTTGGTAATTAAGGTGGGGTGTAAGAAGACAAGTTATGTTTATTGGTAGACGTAGCCAAAGATATGAGCAACACGACGCAGTTTCTTCAAGCTACGTATGTGTTCATGGAGATGAAGAAATGAAGGATCGACAAGATGTTAACAATGGTGGATATGAGGAAGAGGAGGAGGGGAGGAAGTTGATGACGACGAAGAGAAGGGTGATGAAGATGATGACAATCTTAACAGAAAGGTTGACAAAAACAAGATATTTGAGAAAAAGAAAGCGTGTGAAACAAGCGAACAACCAGTTATGGCTAATCAATAAAAAAAACCCATGATCAAATGCAAGAAATTAGGGCTCATTAAAGATCCCACATAAAGGTGGTCAAAGGAGAGTTATCTGGCGGCGGAGCTCAGTCTTCTGATAGGGACACTGGTCTCTTAGACCACCTCCTGAAACAACTAGCTAACAAGGTGGTGCCAGGTGGCGATTTAAGGTTTCGAAGGTCACACAACGCTGTCGGAGCAATGGAACATTGGCTTCAAAGTGCTGATCTTCTTAAAATTAGGAAAGACGCCGGAGTTAATTAGTGATCCTTTCTGGACTCAAACGCCTGGTTGGAAGCCCATTGATTCTCCTATCCAAGATCGGATCATGTCAAAAGAACTTAATATTCATCTCAAAGAGGAAGTTTCATTTATCAAAAGGTACGTATATATGGATTGGATTCATTAAGTTTACGAAAGTGTAAGGTTATTATTTTTTACGTTTCTATAAGAATATATTAGTTATGTGGTTAATTTTTCTTAATATACAGGGAATTTTTATCTAATTAAGAAGCACTAATTTGAGGAAGATATATGGCACATGATTGTTAAGATATTAGTACTTCTTTATGGCCATGAGTTTTTAAATTACTTAGACCATTGATTGTGCCGTGTCCGTGTGTATAAATTAATAGGGAGAACGAGAGATTATGGAGTTAATTTGAAAGAATACTAGTCTTTTAGATCGGAGGTTTCGAATTTTAATTTATATTAAACAATTTCGTAATATTAATTTCTAACCATTGTAGGTAAAAATTTTGAAATAATATAAACGAAATTGGAAGTAAAGTTATGGACTTATGGTGGTATCTCAAGGTCATGTTGAAACTAGTCCAAAGCAAGGTGACCAGTTTTTGTAATTCTTTGCTTCCTTCCGAGTGTCACGTAGATGACTCACGAGTCTCAAGGGTAATATCAGACTCCAACAGGACCCAACCTTAATGGTGATGGACCTACACTCTTAAATAAACCCCCAAAGTACTCTTTTCACATAGATATATCAAATCAACATATGAGTTATTATGTTGTTCAAGAATTTTATTATTGTTTTTTGAATATTTTTTGTTTATTATTATTATTGTTAATATTTTTCAGAATTAACGTTATTTTTGAATGTCTTTAATCATACATACATTTTTTTTATGAAATTAATCCATTCTTTTTCAGTTAAAAATGGCAAGTTTAGAGCCGGCCCCTCGGATATATATATATATATATATATATATATATAGATATATATATATATATATATATATATATATATATATATATATATATATATATATATCAATGTTGGGATACATATATATTACTTGGTTTTTCATGAGTCCAATTAATTAGAATCAGTGAAAACTATATTAATAAGCTGTACCCTTTTAAAAATATAAACTTTTTAAATTTTATTTATTATTTCTTGTAATTTATATATTATAGTTATATTATTATAATATTTGAAAATTATTTAATTAAATGTGAATTATTTTGTTGATAACAAACTACTTTATTTAAATAATCTTGAAAATACCTTTAAAACAATATTAGTATTAAGTATTATTGATATGTATTTTATTTTAATAAACTAATTACAATATTAATATAAAAAAATAACCAAACATCTAATATATCATTGAATAATAAGAGAAACGATACTAATAGAAGTGTGTTGGCTTTCCTGTGAATGTATTCGAGAAACTGGAACAAAAACGAGAAACTGGAACAAAAACGATTTTGACCCATAAATCTGGAACAAAATGATTTTGACCAACACCCAAACCATTGTCTTTTTCTACTTCTTCCTGTGTTGGCTTTCCTGTGAATATTTAATTAATCAATAATGAGCAAAAACACCATCCCATGGAGTTATCAAAGGAGGCGGGAAATGGAAACGCCAATGGTAGGAGGTTTGGTTCAGCAACAGTCAATTGATGGAGATTAGATGGGGATAATTTAGGGCTATCATTCCCTTTTCCTACGGATAACTGACTTCAGGCGATAACAAAGACCGGCGATGAGGCAAAGGTGCATAGGTAAATCAGAGAAGAAGATGAAGGTGTGGGGTGAAGTAAGGAGCGATGAAGGTGAATGGTTCGGATGGGGAAGAATGGGGGTGGGGATCGTATGTTGTTCTTCAACTTCTCAATCGATTTCTTCTATTGTTCTTAAAGAGCAAACCCAGAAATCTGCAACTCTTTCATCCTCAAATCAATAGTTTTAAAATCCTATCGCAGGTTTTAGGTGTAACTTACGAAAATCAAAATCAAATAGCATCCTCCTGGGTTGTCTTTTACTGTCTTTTAGGAAGAATTGCATTTCTAGGGCCAGATTGTGTGTGTGGGTCTGGTGGTGTGAGAAGGTTGTGAATACGATGAATGGGTAAGTAAAGTAGAGGGTTCGATGGTGTGGGTGGATTTAAATCCACAGTGTTCAATCTCTGACAAGATAAAATGCTTATCCGGTCAACCAATTTTTAGTTCTCATATCACATAGAGAGAGAAGCACCGGAAGAATCTAAGCTCATCTTTTGTTCATTACTAGTTAACTCGTGTTATTGAAGAAGAACTTATGAAGGTATGAGTTCAACTTGGTTTAAAGAAAGGTGTATAGGATGAGAGAGAGAGAGAGGTACTTTATTATTTTTTTAATCGTTAAAATAAATAAATAAGTATTAAATTTAAAAAAATGAAAGAAAAATGAAAAATAAATACCCAAGAGTATTATAGTCATTTCAATTTTCAGAGGGACTATTTTTACATACAAACCACTCCAAAAATCCAAAAAACTCGAGGTTTGGACCAAAACCCCAAAAATTTGCATACCACAGGGACCATTTTTGCAATTTTGTCTTAATTATTAGATATTAGTTGTTATTGAAACTTGAAATTAAGATATTTTCATAATGAAAAAATTGCAAAAATGGTCCTTATTGTATGCATTTTTTGGGGGTTTTAGTGCAAATCACGATTTTTTTAGATTGATAGTCCTTTTGAGCTAGTTTCCTTGCACCTTTGGTCTTTGTCCAAACTAAAAAGACTATTATACCCTTAATGATTTTAATTTTCATTTTTCTTTCACTTTTTTAAAATATTATTATTATGAAATATAAAATTGGGCCCACATTCTCTCTCTCTCTCTCTCTCTCTCTCTCTCTCCGAAAATCAATTACCCCTCCATTGTCGTTGTTGTACGGTGGCCACCAAACACCACCAAGGACCACCGCACAACCGTTGTTTCATCAACCAAACCCACCCAAACCTCCTTCCTTTTCCGTCTATTACTACCTTTTCCCCTCTTCTTCGTCAGCAGGTCACCGTCACCACCGGATTGCTGTTGTTTTTTATCACCAGCGACCCACTCCCTCCTATCCCTCTCATTAGTTACTGGCAAAAGAGAAACCAGGCAGCAAGGTCGCCACCCACTACTGCCGTCGGGGCTCTTTCCTCCACAAAAAAATGTCGTTGTCACCGCTACTTTTTCCTTCTGTCGTACCCATCTCCGTTCGCCTCCATCCTCATCAGACTCGTCGGAACAAGAAATGGAAGCAGCGAAGCTCCCAACACCGCCCACTGTCACTGTTACTGTGGAGCTTCGACACCACAGCTGCTGTTATGAATTTAGAACTCCACAACCACCACTCTTTCCGGTACTCTGCCTTCCTTGCTTTCAATTGTTTGTAGCTGCTGAAAACCACCACTACCGTGAGGGTGGTGTTGCTATCATGACCACCGAGAAACCCTCACCACCACCTAGAACACCCCCAGTCACTCTTAATGTAGGAGGTATTGATCAACCACCACTTTTTTTGTTTATTGTTTCCCTTGTTCTTATGTCAGTCGAGATCGAAGGAAATGGGTCTTGTATCCCATAATCGTGACTTGTAAAACAGGGAGATAGATTAAGGAAGACAAGAAAGAGAGAGAGAGAGAGAGAGAGAGAGAGAGAGAGAGAGAGAGAGAGGGAGAGAGAGACAAAGGTGGGCCCCATAATTTTTATTAAATAAACTTTAAATTAAATAGCAATAATGCGATCGCTCTGTATCAAGACCACACCCAATCCTGTGATAGACACGTCACAGTAGACCACAAAATCCTCAACAACCCCCGACAGGGTCAAAATCGACGCCTCGCATAACCTCTGTCTCAAATTCTCAAACAATGCCTGTTGCTCAGGCCCCCAATGATAAGTGACAGTCTTCTTCGTCAGTCGGGTCAGGAGAACCGTTATCTTGGGGAAATCCTGAATAAATATCTGGTAATATCCAGCTAAACCCAAGAAACTCCGAATCTCGGATGGAGACCTCGGAACCTCCCACCTCATCACGGCCTCCACTTTGGCCGGATCGACCAGAATACCATTCTGGTTGACAAGGTGCCCCAGAAACTGCTCTTCGTGCAACTAGAACTCGCACTTGGAGAACTTCGCATATAGCCTCTCCCCCCTCAGGGTCTCCAATACCTCTCGCAAGTGCTCCTCATGCTGCTCCTGGGTCTTGGAATATACCAATATATCATCAAAAAACACAATCACAGACTGTTCCAACATCAGTCGGCACACGCAGTTCATGAGGTCCATGAATGCGGCCGGAGCATTGGTGAGGCAAAAGGCATCACCACGAACTCGTAACGACCATAGCGAGTCCGGAAAGCCGTCTTATGAACATCGTCCTCTCTGACCCTCATCTGATGATAACCCGAGCGCAGATCAATCTTGGAAAACCAAGACGCGCCTTGAAGCTGGTCAAACAAATCATCGATCCTCAGGAGTGGATAACGGTTCTTCACCGTTAGCTTATTCAACTCCCGGTAATCAATACACATCTAATGCAACCCGTCCTTCCTCTGGACAAAATTGATCGTTGCACCCCAAGGCGAACTACTCGGTTGGATGAATCCCTTATCTAGCAACTCCCGCAGCTGTGTAGACAACTCATGCATCTCTGGTGGAGCTAATCCATATGCTACTTTGGCTATCGAAGCCGCACCAGGAACCAAATCAATTCGGAACTCCACCTGCCTCTCCAGAGGCACCCTAGTTAAATCCTCCGGAAACACATTCGGATACTCCCTTACTACTGGCACATCATCAACTGACACCCTATCCTGCTCCCGGGTATCCATAACATAGGCAACGAACCTAAAACAACCCTGATGGAGATAACGTCTGGCCCAAGCGGTTGAACATAGGACCGGACCGTGCTGCACACCCTCTCCATGGACCACCAATTCTCCCCTACTTAGGTTCCGAACCCGTACCAGCTGGCGCTCACA